GGGTTATTATACAATCCCAAGTGCCGTCTGCAATGCTGGGAAATCATGTCTTCGCGGAGCCATGGGGTTTTGAACCCAGAGGCAACCCAGCAGCAGGGGCAGGCAGGTCCAAAGTGTTGAATTCAGCTTGCAGCATAGAGGCCTTTCAACCTCTTTAAGCGTTGCGCGCGTTGCGAATTTCTTTGCAAGATTCAGCGCATGCCTGCAGAAGCACCTTTGAAATTTACCTGATCAGTCGTGAGGAATGTCCTTGCAAACAGATATGAATCAGAGCGGAGCTCTCATCTCCAAAAAGGTGCTGCTTGCAGTGGATAGCTACACATCTGAGCTTAGTCAGCATTCTGCACGGATGAATTTTCAGCCGGCATGTGCGGACTGAACTAAAAATTATGGGGTTCCACCGCGGCAAAGTGTCTACAACATGTCAAACTCTTTGTTCTCCGTCTTCTCCCTCAGTCCTTCACTGCCGCAGTATCTGAGATACGTTAAATTCGTCTTCAATCGCACGTGCAATTTGCACATGGACCAGGTATCGGCAAAACTGTTCTCAGTCTTGAGCAACCCACGTGTCACAGATGGCATCGCAAGCTCTGCTAGGCTCCAACGTCTGCCATGGACAAGCGCCGCATGAAGCCCGCGCTGGTTGGTTGAGTCTTGGCCGGTTGCTTGGACTTCCTGGATCATTGTGCAGGTGGCTGGTAGGAAGTTTAAAGAAATTCTGCGGCAGATCAGATTATCAATTAGAACCTTGTACTTGAGGTGTCTAACATCTATTTCGATTCAAGCAGAACTTGAGGACAAAAATTTGGGTACTAAACTGCGCGCAGGCATTTCCCTGTCTGGCCTCAATAGGCTGGGATAAACTTCTGTAAATATCCGCGTCATCTTCGTAAGCTTGGCGTCCAGCTGCTTGAGGTCCTCATAAACTGCACAGCTGTGAACAATTGGTGAACATCTTTGTTTGCCAGGAAAATTCCCAGTGGCGAAGGACAGAGACACCAGAATCATGCCCTCCCCCTTCGTAATTCAACTAAAATGACTACAGAGTCTGGACAAACTGGCCCATCTCCCTGTATATCTGCAAATTGCATAGGACACCCATACACATGTCGTCGTTGCGGCAGGGTGCTGCATGAATGGCGACCTGGTCAATCGCACGCGCTTGGCCCTTGCACCGCAAGATGCCATCAACGAACTCCTCCAGGTCGAAATTCAGATGAGACCAACGCGAAATAAAACACACAAGTTTTCAATCCATCTCAAGCGGCTTGCAGAGAGTATGATCACGCCGGCAAATTGACACAGGCATGTTGCCATGATCATGTGCTCACTGTCCTCCAGGGTGACTTCTCCATCACCATTGTCCTGATTGGCTCCGCAGAAAATTGCACAATGATGCATTTGTACAATAACTACTCTGGGTCAGACATGCTGTTTTGACGACCCGCTAGGCCAATTTGGATCCCAGCTGTCCAGCAAGTGGAACAGTGCCACACCTGCGTCACTGCGAACATGACCATAATTCTGCAAGGACTGTGCTATATAAAAGCTGCAATTGTGCAATGCGCATGTGTTGCACTTCCAGCGCAGCACGCTCCGACTGTGCCTTCGTGAAGGTCAACGCCAAGCGACTGGAAGTAGACCTTCACGCTGGGGTTGCTCAGGATGTCGTTCAGCCTGGCTTCCGTGAGAACGCCTCTGCCACTTTTATCAATGGCTTGAAAGACACCCTCCAACTTCTTGACGTAGCCCGATCGCTTGCGCATACCATCCAGAACCATGAATTCTGCATCGTTCTGCGCAGCTTCCATGGTATCCTCAGGATCCAGAACGTTCTGAGAGCACTTTTGTTTGGGGGAGCACAGGACTGTTGTTGTTGTTGCTGCTGGTGG